TTATGGCGTTGTAAAACGAGTATTGTGGTTCCAGTCAGTGGGGATGAGTGGTTTTGGTGAGATTTTTAAAGATGGAGAAAGCCATTAGAGAAGGATTTTGAGTTGAACTGGAAGATGGAGAGTGGAGGTTGTGGTGGTGAGTGTGTTGAGTCCCGCGGCGTTTGTGGGTATGATTTGAAGCTCCACCATGAGATTTGCTTCCACCATGAGATTTACTTCTGTGAGAGTGGGCCTTTCTTCTTCTACAGCGAAAGGTCGTTTTCGGAGTGACGATAGTGTCTACCACCACCAAACGTCTGCATCTAGTTCCACTGCCTCGCAAGGTGTGGCGCCCTTTTTAAAAGCCTTTCCATTTTCTGTGTTGGCTAATTTTGCATGATTTTTTTAGGTGCAACTTCTACCACCAGCACTGTCTATATTTCTTCTTATTATGCACCTCTTTCTGTTTGATCACAAAAATGATCAAGTCTTGCTCATGAAGTTTGGATTAGGCATACAATATACGAAGGACCTTCAAAACAAAGTTAGCACTCAAATACTCTAGTCAGTACTGATTTGATTTATATACTTAAGAGAGAATATAGTTTCACGTACCTTGTATGAGAGGCAGGGATCTCTATTTATAAAGGTGAGTTCTCAACAAGGCTTTCGACAGTGCTCCAGCGACTTTGCGACCATCCGAGAATCGTAGCGCCTTGTTGGAGGGTGTGTTTGGTTCCTTTACGCCTGGAAGTACTCTTCAAGGTCGGCTCATTCCTAATGAAGGTTGGTTGAAATGTGAGATATGACTCGACTCGACTTCTACAGTCGAGCTGCCTGGAGATGTCCAAATGAAAAGATTCAGTTAGTTTTTCTATTCATCATGGTGTTTGATGATCTCCGATGTCGACACGTGGTGTGTGATAATTAGCCTCCAACATCTACTGCTTTGCCGTCGTAAGTATTCTCTATCGTCGAGCTCATTTCTGCCATTGGAGTGACAGACGACTATGCCCCTTCTCTCGTCTTCTCCTTCTAAAACGATCGAAAAGCACCCCCATTTCTCTTCACCTCAAGGACGATTGTCCTCTCCAGCAGAACAGGGCCCTTCTAGCTGGAAGTCTAATTCGAGCACTCTGATTAACAATTTTCCATCGTTGTCGTTGTGTCTGACAGGTGATGCTAGTAAAATATTGAAAATAATCCATAGAATATTTTTGGTATATGTTGCATATACTTTGTAATGTCAAATAATATTTCTAGTCAGTATATTTTGGGTATATGCTACATATACTTTATGTAATGTTAAATAATACTTCAATAGTACTGTTTTGTGGATAACTTATGAATAGTATTGTTTTGTCAACTGCTTATGAATGATATGAAGTTACTTATATGGAGTATACTATTATTATACGTGGCTTTACTTTGTAATGTTAAAATATACTTTGAATGATATGAAGTTATTAATTTTGAATGATATGAAGTTATTAATGTGGAGTACCTTTTGAGTGTATATTGCATATAATTTGTTTTAATATACTAAGTACCACGTGCTGGAAGAAAAAATAAGAACCGCCATTAAGCAGAAGAGACGGAGTTGGAAGTTAGAGAAAATAAGTACACGTCGAAAGTTTGAAAAAAATAAACCCCGTCGGAAGGTGGAAAAAAATAAATCACTGCCGAAGGTACGAAACTACAGAAATTGGAAAAAAAAAAATATAGAAGATTTTGAAATATAATTTTGGTATCCAAAACGTATAAATATAATTAAATTTCAAACTTTTTTTTATTTGTTCAAAACATTATTAAACTATAATGATTCTTTAATAAATGTAAATATATGGCTTAGATGATCATTGATTTATTAGGAAAAAATCAATCGTTTTGTAGTACTGAAATCTGCCCGTGTAAATAATAATAAAGATGAACATTTGTGAAATATTAGTTTTGAAACCTCTAAAGACAATTTCGGTAAGAAGTAGAGAGAAAATCAAAGGAGAAATCAGGCAAATCTTTTCTCTGCATTCTCTCCCTTTCTTTAGTATCTTCTTGTGTTCGTGCACCTATTTTGTTCCTAATTTTACAACCCTCACATTTTATCCTTAATTTCCGCCCTCCCTCTCAATATTTTGTCATCTCT